ATCTCCACCACATCTCTCCTGCTAACTACCCACTGAACTGCCCCCAATGCGATGAGCCCAGCACCACAGCTCATCTCGTCTGGACGTGCCCCACCAACCCTCCACCACCCAGATCCCCTACCCTTGAGCAGTGGGAGTGCGTGTTGCAGAGCTGCCAGCTCGAAGACCAGGAGGCCCTGATCTCTCGGGCGAGGATGGCAGCCGCGGCACGCGGCCTACCGGAATAGGATGGCCGCCCACAGCTCCTAACTCTTTTCTCCCCTACCCCGTTCCTGTTGTTTCAATAAACGTTTTCTCTCTCTCTCTCTCTCACTCCGTTAGCATTGATTGTGCAGCGGTATGCGCACATTACGCGACACTGTTAGCTCAAACACGACATCGGCGCTTTTTGCTATTTTCCCCAGCAATGTATCGACTCGCACTAAACTCTACCGCTTAGCTGGGATACTCGCATTAACAGTTTCCTAAACATCATTCAGTTCTAACAAGAAAAAAAAAAGTGGGAAACACCGGCGATTGTTTGTTTGTGCTAACTGCGTGGCGTAGGGTACCTAAAAGTTTTTTACAATGATAAATACAATTCTGTGTCACGTTAAAAAAAAATTGTCTGCTTTTGCTTTAGTTTCTTTGAGACACACAAATACTTCGAAGTGGCGGCCCGTGCTATGGTACCGATACAAGCAACGTTGAACCATAACACGACACGTTGGACTCGCCAAAAAGGGTTTTAATAGTGTCTTTTCCGCTCCATAGCCACACTCGATAAAGAATGTAAAGAGCGAATCTAGCTTACATTTCGTTCTGGGGTACGGACCGTACGGTTATCTAAGTGGCTAAAAGTGACCCGCTAAAACTTTCTAAAATTGACATCCACCCTTGATGCCCTCTCACCTCAGGTGGTTGTTGGGAATGTGTAAATATGAATTTCATACATTTTGCTGGCCATCATGTTCCGCGAGTTAGGCACACAACAGGGCATTTTAGTAAATCGTTTTCAAAGGCCCGCTGCCACTTCAGGCGCGTGCTTCAGAGAATGCATCGAAGTGGCAGCGCGAGCTTCCGCTAAATATATGTGGCCTGAAAACATAGTCTGCTAAAGTTCTCCAATAATTTGTGCTGGCTGCTAGAAAACAAAGAACTTCCAGAAGATTCCCGCGCCTGGTGCATCGTTTTCTTTTCCATCGATCCCAATTTGAGGCAGGTTTGAGCGTGATAAGCCGTTTTTTTAAAGATGGAATGTTTTGTGAAGATGTAAGTCATCCTTACATATTCAAGTCACCACTTATCGCGCATGTCTTTTGAGCTCCTTGATGAACCAAAAGTATCCATGACACGTTCCTTCAATGGGTGCGGGGATGCATCGCAGCTCTCAAGTATGTGTCTATTTTGCCACAGGCTAAACCAAAGACCTTCGACACTGAAATTCGGTGATTGCAGCTCCGTAAAACCTACACCCGAGAAGCTAGGCTTGGTGAGCGCCACAAAATGGAGCAGATTACGCGATAGGATCTGAAGCTACCTCTAAGTCACGAGGTCGCTGCTGCCGCGCCCATCGCCCGTCGCTCAAAATGGGGATTTTCTCGGCTTATCCTCTCAGAAGAAGCCGGCGCAAAAGGGGACCTTTCCCCTCGCCTCGCCGTGCTACAATACAAGAAAGAAAGAGGGCGAGGAGGACTTTCCGCCAGGCGGTAGAATATTTCTGCTGGTCCGCCTTTAAGGGGCCCTCCAACTACTTTTTGACTGGTTTTTAATTTGCACCGAACCTGAGCGCACTGAACGTAGTAACCTAATGAAACTTTTTTTCTCTCGAATTTCGCTTTATTTTAAAAGTTATAGGCAAATTAAAATTAGAAATACAAGCAAAAAATAGCGTCCCTTATGACGTCGTAAGTCTTGGCTTGAGTGGCCGTGAACTAGAGGAGGGATAGTGAGCTCATGGAGCGCTCACGGCTGCCGCACTCCGTGTCGACGGCTCGAGAGGGCGCCACTTACGCATGTGTTGGATAGGCTGTATGAAGCGGGCGGCCAGAGCGGCTCGCACCGCATTTGCTGCGTGATTACAGACTAATTCGGCAAAACACTTCATTGGCCACAAACGATCCAAACACGGGATAAAGATCAGTTCAAAACAGGAGCCACTTCGCGCTGCCATACCGCCAAATGGCCAAATCGCCAGCCAAACCCGCGCCGGAGGCTTGCGGAGCGCACGGAACCGGTCGGATCCTCTCTTTCTACGCTCGCCGTCCCTCGGTGCCTCATCCCACTACCCCTTTCTAGTATGCGCCGTTTTTTCCGCCGCTTGGTGGCGGGTATGTCGACGGGTCATTTCTTGTTTCCGTACTTTATAAACTGCATTTGTTTTTCTGATCTAAAATACTGAACAAAAACTACTTTCATAAATAATTGAAACGGTTCGCGACACTTATATTATGTATTTCGACTAAAAAATAAAAAGCTTTTAGCGGCACCGACTAGTAGTAAGCCCAGGACCAAAGACGTCACATATCACGCGCTTTCGGCACCGCGGGTCGCCCTCGTAGTTGGAGGAGGTTTCCGTGTCGTCCGGTTAAAATATGACGGACTGATATATAGTTACTCTCTCCGTGCCCGCCGGCTTGCCCGAACCCCAAGAGACGTGGAAACCACAAAAAAGGTAGACGCTTTAAGGCGGCTAACCCGCCGCGATCAACACTTCGAAAAGTATGAATATCACAGTTCATTTTGAAGACAATATCTAATAGCGAATTAATTGAAACTACCACCCAAAAATTCATATTTGCGTGACCCTACTCTTCGCACGTAATACCTAGGCATTAAAAAAAATTGTACTTTATTTTCTAATGGCACCACCAACAATGCTAGGTGCCAGACTCTTACAGTTTCTTTTTCGAGAATACGCCTCGCAAGTGAACTCATTTTCGTCTTCTGCGCATGATAAAGGAAGTAGCGGCCACGTCAGAACGCCGAGCCCTGATTGGCTGATCGCGTCCCCCTATCTCAGCATCGTCTGCTCCTTTGCAACGTCGTCTGCTCGCAACGTCGCCTGCGCCTGTCTTACCTTTCCTGCGACTTTCGGAGCGAACTCGACTTCACCTTTAAGAGAGGGCAGACGAAATAACTCGAGCGGTACGTTGTTTTTGTCTAAAACTAGCAGACGCGCATCAAGGAGGGAAGTCAAAGGACTCACTGGCGAGGTGTCCCGGGGCGCCGAGGTTTGTTTGCTTAGAACCGAGAGTGAGCGTGTTAGTGTCCGCAAGTTCCCTCCCAAATACTTTTTCCCTCCATTCGTGTGCCGCGGGACCCCTCACTCTTTAACGGCGTCGGCGGGTTGGCGCAGTTAACGTCGTCTCCTTTACGTCTGCTAGTCAAAGCGATGGCTGCTTTACCTTTTCTGCGTCTGTCGGAGATTCACCGCTTTTTCACCGGCGAGAGTCACCGTTGCCTCGGGAAGCAAGGAGATAACAAGAGGAAGAAATTGACCTCTTAATCTAAAATTGAGGTCAGCGATCAAAGTATAATACGGGAAGGGTTCACAAGGGTCGTGCGGGCATATTCTATTCAGCACGCCAGCCGGTCGTGGGTAGACGGTCGCCGAGTGGCGGAGCGCCTGCTAGGCCTAACTGCCCAGCTCGTTTGGTCGCGTTCGGTGGAATCGAGGCCGTTGGAGCTTTTCCTGGGTGTTTGTGGATCCAGCGTTCTTGTTCGTCGTGGTCTGTTTCAAGTACTTCTTAATTTTTTTTTGCTGCTTGAAGTCGGGACGCGTCAGATGCGCAGGTAGAAAAATACACGTCCGTGGGTCGTCGCGACCGCGACGCTGTCGGCCATGCTGATTTGATCGTAAGAAGTGCGTAAGACAGCTTCGGAGGTGTCGTAGGATTTCGTCGTAACCTGCGCAAAACTTACGAAAATTTCGTTTCGTGAATACGAATTTGTTCTTAAGTTTTGTCTTACGCATATTTTTGGCGTGAGATCGTTTTGTGAACCCTCTGCACTTCCGAAAGTAGCAGGAAAGGTAAGACAGACGCAGACGACGTTGCGAGCAGACGACGTTGCAAAGGAGCAGACGACGCTCAGATAGGGGGTCGCGATCAGCCAATCAGGGCTCGGCGTTCTGACGTCACCGCTACCCCCTGCGCAAGAAGCAGACGAACTTGCCCTCCGCATAGCTTCCTTTTGACATGGCGCAAAGTTTGCACAAATACAGCGTTTGGAGCAGCATGTAGCAGGTTGTTCGTTCGGGCGCAGTTTGGCGCAAATGGCTCACCAGTTCTACCCGTGCACCAGTAGCCCATGCATATCTGAACCAGCTTCCCAGAAGCACAGACACATTATGTAAAAAAACCAAAATCCAAAAGCATAACAGTGGCGGTCTCTTCACCACAACGGAGACACGGGTTGCATCCCCAATTCAACAGCAATGCCTCCACTTTCAGTATTTGCCTGAAAGAGGCAACTCTGCCACACCCAAAAAGCAATGTCGTACACCCTAAATGCCATCTACCTTACCGAGTACACCCCATGCTGCTCCGTCACAAATCATGGTACACACCTAGCACACCTCGATAGAATGGGCCCCTGTAGCTCTCAAGACCGGTTCACACATTTGCATTAAACAGTGCCCGAGTGTGTTCCCTCGTAACTGGCACCATCTAACCGGCAACCCTGGAACCGCATGTAACCGGACCAAAGATTTGCCAGTATTTGCAAGATCAAATCTCCACATCACTTGTGAGGAAAGCTCTTCTGTAACATTGTCAGAATTATTTCAATCCCAAAACGAAAAAATGAGTCGTAAAAAAAATTAAAATGTATAAGCGGGTTGAAGGCATTCCCGTGCTGCCGAAAGATGGCACTCGGTGTGTTCTAGCGTCATAAGTGGCTACGAGAAAACAGAATGAGCTCAAACGCAAATGTTTGGGTGCGTCGTGGAGTGTGCAACTCCCAATGACACGTAAGATGTTGCATCCAGGAAGCGGCGTGACAACAGATCCAACGAGACGCACGCTTGTCAGAAACTGACATTTAATAAAACAAAACAAATTCAAAACTGCACCAAGACGTGCCTGCACGTGTTAAGTCAGCACGTCGATGGCTGAGGCTAACGCCCTCTTCAGTCGTCACCGGTGTCGCCCAAGTACTTGTCTCGCAGGCGAGCTCGGATCAGCGCTCCCCTGATTAACCGCCTCCAGTTTCCAAACACCCGCTTCTGCCTCTTCTGCAAAAAGAGACAAAGGACGCGGGGCTTTAGGCGTCCAAGAATTTTAGGGTTCTTCTCAGCTCGACCTCAGAAAACTTTCGTTGGCAAAGAGTTTGGGAGGTCAAGCCTGAAAGTTAAGGATTTGACTGGAGCACCACTGGTCCGGCCCATTTTTTCAAAACTGGCTGCACCAGGGGGGCTTCAGCCAGTTTGAAGTTTGTAGCAGACTTTGGAACAGAAAAAATATCTAGTTTTGCAGCATCTTTGTATCAGAAACTTGCGTTTTGGAGCAGCTTTAGAGTAGCATATACACAAGTTTGGAGCAATTCGGTGCAGTTCCCTATTAGCGATATTAGCAAGCACTTATGTAATCACTACTGCGCGATGTGCATTAGAGACCCAAAGTTAACGGTTATACTGTACTAGCCAGATTGCCCTTCAACAATTGTGAAGTTGCGCCACAAACTTAGTCAAATTTGTTTTTTTTTTTCTTTACATTTAGTGCTAGTGGACAAAGGTCAGCGGGAATAATCTAAGTGTGCTAACCATCGCCATTGAGAAGTCGATGTAGAGTATCAATTCAACTCTTAAGATAATAAAGAGTGGTAAATTGGCACTACACAAAGGTTTCTCACATGACACAAAAATCAGCATTTCCTGGACTCCTAAAGACAACATGCTTTGTGGCAAACAATTTATTTATAATGACACTTCCTGACGATCTCTCACTGTAAATATTCGTCTGATTTGCTTTGCTTTTCCTCAGTCATGATTACGACCTAGTTGCCCAAAAATCCAATTTAGTACACAAAAAGCTTAATCAACAAAAATATTCTGCGTTCCCTAATGCACAGCCATTTTAATGAGTAGGACAATCAAGAATTCACATCACTTGACATAAAAAAGGCAATCCATAACAAAGCAGTCTTGACCGAGTACGCTAACGAAATGGGAACCACATGTGCGAGTACATTTCTACAAAGCAGTGTCGCACTTCCGAACACGTGCAAGCAGGAAAAAAGAATTGCTTGCACATGCTACTCTCCAGTAGTGTGCCTCAAAATTCCACTAAAACTGACTAAACTTTGTTGAGTTAGGGCTGTTGCCCTAACTCTATGAATTGGTGCGAAACAATGCCATGGAATCGGGAACCTGGATTGGATTGTGATGGTCAAGCCCCACTGGGTTTCCACATTTTCCAGATGAAAACAAAACACTCTTCCAAAAACTAATTTGTTCGCAGATACACGCTCTGGCACAAATGGGCGAGATTTTTCCCATTTGGTGCAACAAGGCGCAAGCAAGCGTAAAAATTTTCAAACTGGCATGAGGGTGCAACTGGACCACTCCTGCATTCTTGCAACAGGAACAACGTCACCTGAAACTTCAAATAGCATTTCTTTTAATTGTGCGTGTAGGCATCCACCGCATATCTCGTAGGTTAATCTAGTAATCATCTTTGAGACATTCTAAAGGCCAAAAAATCAGTTCGGTATCTGAGCTAGAAGACAGCTGCAAGACATTTCAAAACACCCTTATAACCAAGGTAAGGTCACTCTGCTTACAGACATCTAATAGAGATGTCTTCTAGGTGTGTAGAGAAGATGTCTCATATATGTCTTGTCATTGTGTAGTCCAAAACATCAATAGCTCAATCGAGTCATTTCGAGACAACTATGGGACGTCTTGTGCTCGGTGCATAACGTGCAGTGGCGTAAAAGCTGCTGGCACACCCCAAGCTTGGCTGCAGAAATGAGGGTAGTGTTACATTACAGGCGAGCCAGGGGACAATGTGACTTCACCCTGCAGTTTCTTGCAAGGGCCACAGTGGGTTTTGTGAACATTTTTGCGACGTATGGGTAATGTCAACGAGAATGTTCAGGGAGTGGACATGTGCGAACAGTGGAATTTGAGTTCGAAGCGCATTCAAAGTGAATGCCAGCTTTGGCCGAATATCTTAAAATCGAATATGAAACAGTTTCTTCAAGCCTTTTGCGACTATTAAACAAAAACCCAGCAGAGCTTTAAAGGCTGTTTCTAAGCTTGCACTTGTCCATTTCAAGGTTATAATTTATGGGCTGTGACGTCGGGAAGTACCTACACTGAAGTAACAAGTAAATGATGTATTTGACATATAAATAAACCTTAAAAGATGCAAAGCTATATACCAAACAAAAGGATTTATAAACTTTCTTGCCATATGTAAATACCCTTTTTTTCTATCTCAAACATAGAAAAAAAAATCACAAATGACTTATGCAAGTTTTTGTGCAACTGTACATAGCGTATACATACTCTTGCATTATGGCCACAGTTTAATTTTGATAATTTTACTGCAATATAGATGTCAACATTCACAAACTTTGTGTTTCTTTTCATTTTTTTTTTTTTTACCAGGCACGTGCGAGCACCATTTCACTGTGAGGATACATTTCTCCTAAGCTTGCAACTGCAATATTTGTGCTTTTCAAAGCGCGCGTCATACCAAGCATCGGTGCACCCACAGAGAAGCAACATCCGCAGAGCTCCCTTCTGTGGGTGTTGCTTCTCTGCACTGCTCGGCAAGAAGTGCGCTCAATGGGGCCAACTTGCCCAATCAATAACTTGAAACGTATCAATATCGCCGTTCATCTCGAAGCGAACCTAGAGTAGCCCATTGTTCGAGACTACTGTCGGACGATTTGAATATTCACACAATCCTACTCCCTGAACAACGGAATGACTCGGATAGACGCTTCCGAGAGTTCGGCGGAAAATGACCCTCAAAGAGATTCATATCACTGAACCAGCCAACCACTTCCACCTGTTTTCATTGCACCACTGACATCGTGGCCTCACGAACACTTTTTTTTTTATATGGCAGTGCATGCTGCTGGCGATGCTGACTATACGCAGCAATTTTTCGGCTCTTTAATTACACGGTTTATGTCATAAAATCGGGCCGGTATGCGAGGATCCGGCACTTGTGTCGTCATCAGAGTTCAACGTGCCCGTTGGCTCCTGTGCTTAGGCTTAGCGCTCGAGTGCCAGTTTGGCTAATCTCTGACCAGTATGCGTAAAACTCCTGCCACCAGTGAATGCTCCTTGTTATCGCGAGGAGCATTCACCCTACAAGAGCCAACTTAAAGGGGAACTACCCAAGAAAAAAAATTTCTGCAAAATAAGTTGATTTTGGAAAAATGCCCTTTTTACATCTGCCAACATCTAGAGAGTATTTTCAGAATGTTTCATTTGTTTACAGTGGTTAATTGTTTTTTTATAAATTATTTTCACTCCACCAATGCTAATGAAAAGCTCGAAGTGGACGAAGGGAGCTTGCCTCTTCCTGCCGGTCGGAGATGTTGACCTGCTCCTCCTGCCAGGCCATCATCAGGGTGTCAGCAAACTCTTCACACACCACCCAGCCGTCGAACCTGCGGGGACGGCGGTTTCTAGAGTCACCGATGAGCGAGGACGGTACGGCGCATCTTTCAAATGCCTGACCTCCAGCGGGCTCTGGCTGCCTTCTTCAGTGCTCCAGCCTCGCACGCGTGCTCGGAGCTCACGAGACGCCAAAGAAGCGCTATTGAAGGTAGAACGCTCGTGCCTTCTCTCTATCGTTCTCATTCCTTCAGCGACTATAGACGCTTACGAGTAGGGCCTCTGGGCGCCACCATCTTGCTCCTGGTGTAAGTACTTCGTCCGAGAGTCGAGCGTCGCCGAGGAGTACCCACGGTCTCGACAACGCTGGACTATTGGGCGATCTACCCATACCAGCAGAAAGATGGCGGTGCCCAGAGGCCCTACTTTTGAACGTCTATGGTGCTTCCGTCTTGCGCTCGTATCGGCACAGCTGGTAAACGACGTGCATCTTGTATTCGGTGGCACAACGAGGAAACTGTCCGGCTACTTCTTTAGGCACGGGCAAAGCCCATCTTTTGCGAGGAAGGTGCATCTTTCCAGCCTCGAGGTTTTTTTCGACGCGCTGTCGGTTGTTGCTTTCCACTGACGGGAGACCGGTGGAGTGTCTGCATGTCTTCCGTCGGCAAATTGGAAGTGTCGGGGAGCCCAGTTTAAAATGAGAAAGGAATCGACGAAGAAAACTGTCTCGGCTTCACCCTCCCAGTCAATTGCCGCTACCTTTGAAGACACGAGGATGGTTCACAGTCCACACAAAATTTGTCACTCCAGAACGCCGGGTAATTCCTGTCTGCCCACGCCGCCCGACGGATCCGAGTCGCTCGACACAACAAGAGCTCTATATTTTTATTGTTTCTTTTCTTCCGCCGACTACGTATGACGTTCGGGGCACGTAATAAATGCTCAGGTATGCAAGTCGTCCCCGTCACATACCCACCATGGCAGAGTTGGCTGCAAGCAACACCCGTCGCGTGCGATCATGCCGACAGTGGTTGAAGGACAGTTACCTTCCCATCTCGCGACACTTCGTGCTGGGGGTGAAGACCCCCTCTCATCTCCTACTTCGTGCGTCTTTCCTTCGTGTGTCGCGACGAGACTTTGTGTCAAATGAACAGCTACGACGTAACCCTGTCCGGTGCATACACAAAAAGAGGTTGAGACACCCAAAGAGACGCATATAAAAATAGTGTGCCCAGATTTGAGAGTGCTTCCGACTGCTCGATCGGGGTCACACAGTTCGTGGGCTGCGTTTGCTATACAAGATGCAAGAAGGAGGCAAATGAGTCGAACGCCAGCAAATGTCTCTGCCTCGCTGAGCCTCGCTCCGCCTCTCTGCCTGCCGTTTACTTCACCGTACGGGAATGCGCTCGTGCGCACAAAGCAGCCGGTCTGAGCAGGACGTGTCCGCCGTTGAACTGCCAACACTCTTTGTATTTTAAGTAGCCCCCTCTCTTAAATCTAAGCTCTCCATTTCAAACTAACACTTCAATCCCACTTTGGACGGTGAGCAATAATCAGTTTCTCGACGTATCACTCTGGAATTTACTATAGAGGGGCCCGAATGTGGTGCATTTCTTAATTGAGAGTATGAATACACAAAACCTCCAAAGCCAAAAGAAAGGAAATAAAAACGGGTTTTGTCTGTGGAAAACATTATCGCTAGGCCTTTTTTTTCTCAAAATCATCGAAAAATTGTTCTGGGCTATTCTGGAGTTCATTCAACTAAAGAGATCAGTGAATTAAAAAAAAAAATACAATTAGCTTACCTATCCTCCAATTCATTTGGCCCAAATAAGTGCCACAGTGACACAAAATATTAGTTAAGTGTACATGTAAAGTATAACGGAAAAAACGTTTTGATTTTTTATGACTTACTCGGGTAAGCCAATCTTCCCGCAATTTTAGTGAGAGCTTCCACCACCTTCGGGCACCTCTGTAGTAAATCCTAGCGTGGTACGTTAAGAGCCTGATTTATGCTGACCATCCAAAGAGGGACTGAAGCATTAGTCAACATGCTGTAGAGAGCCTACATTGAAGAGATGGGTTCATCTCAAACCATGCGGAGCATTTGCAATATAATGGCAAACTCCTTCTGCATGTCCCGCGTCGATTGGACGCCAGTGTGCATGTGCAGCGTTGTCGCATAGCGAGGAGGAAAGCAGGCGGAATGTCAGAGACGCTTGCAGACGATGAATGCGTTCGTCGTCATCTAGCAGCTCGTAATCCAAACACCACGTGACCCTGATCAAGCAGTTAGACACTCTCTGTAATACAGGCTCTCCATTTAAAACGGGAGGACTTGTGCACCATCTATCAAGTCAAAGACTCAATGAAAAAACTACCACCTACAAATATAACATCGTTACATTCGGTTGAGCTGGATGCCGTTTCAATGCTTGGGCTGCTAAGGGGACAGTGAGTCGAAGCACGTGAATTCAGGTGATCCGACGACTTTTCCCACCCTGGGCTCTGGTCGCGGTAGGCGAGTACAAAGCAAGTGGTGGAAGGACAGACTCACACCGGGTGAACGCCACGTCCGTGTCCCTCAAAACCCACCACGGCCGGCACGCAGTCGATGTTCAACTTGGCCGCCACACGTCCCAGGGCCGGAGCTGCGAGAGAAGAGTGTTCGGCTGCTCACCCCCTTGCGACGAGAAAGATTAGTCCTGTAGAAGGCAACTTACATTTCGGATGCTCCTCAGCTTAAAGGGACGCTGACACCCCCCAAAACTTTTTTTAATCTTTTTTGACAGGCGATTTAATATGGCGTCAAAAGATTACCCAATCAATATTTTGCTACAGAGTCACATATATTTTTAATAAAGCCAAAAAAACTCAGTTGCTTGAAACCGCAACCGAAATATGAGTGAGTGTGGAAGCTCATGGCCAAGACATGTGGACACTGTGTACCGAGGAGGAGGGAGAAATGTAAAAGACAGAGATGCCAGAAGTTATGTGGCTACACCCGAACATGCTTCATTTTGTTTTTTTTTCTCCGCTTCTGCGTGCGGAGCAGATGTCGAAGACGACGAAGTTGCATGCACCATTTGTCGTTCGATTGTTTCGCACTTACATCCCTTCTGCCCGATGTTCTGTGCTTGAAGATCAATTGACCGGTACTACGGACGACAGCTCCGAAGTAGCGGCCCTACGTCCGTTGCGACGTTGGTTCGTCGTGCCTCGCCATCACGTCATCTAGTTCGCGGTACATCACCATATTGAGAATGAAGCGTACATGTACTTCCTGTGATCTGTGCAAACATGTTTATCTGTCAAAGTATTTGCAGTTTTTAGGAGGCCACAAAAATGGGGTTCATGTTCTTTTCTATTTTTAATATTGAATGTGTGCCTTAGATGATCCACAACTTTGAATGTATTGGGTACACACAGTTTGAACGCCACGTGATCATGGAAACGAGAGTGTGTGTGACTGAAACCGGCAACTTCTCGATCGAAAACAAACTTCGAGCTGCAAATTGTGTTGTGGATAGTTGGGCTCTTATTGGTCATGTTAAAATAAAAACCTCAGCGAGCATTAATACCTTGTCAGTGCCCCATTTAAGGCTGCGGGTTCACACGTCAGCATCCAAGTGGGACAAACAGCATCGTAGGCGGCGTTTCAGCCGCCTACGACGCCGTCTCTCGGATGGCCCTGGAACGCTTCCAATGTGCGTACGACTACGACGAAGATCTCACATTATTTGCTAGATCAAATTTACGCACTACCTATGAGAAATAGTCACTTATAACACTGTCGGGATTATTTCAGTCGCACGGTGACAGGACGACGCGTGAATATATGCAACTTGGAAGTGTTTCGCGACATCTGGATAGATGGCGCTGGTCCGCTCTCTCACTGCGAGCGGTTACCAGTGGTTGAAACGCAGTATGTTGGTATTCTGCATTACAGACAGCTCGTGGATTTGATGAAGACGGATCTTGCAGCGTTAAAAAGAATTACGGTAATGAACGAGTCTGACTACAAAACAAGAAAATTAAAGCCGAGGCACGGAAGAACTTTACTTCTTCAAAAGTATATCATGGCTGAATTTGAAATAAAATAGCGATTTTTTATGCTTCCAGGTGGTGCCGGGGTCTTTTTTGTTGTTGTTTTTTTCCCGGTCAGCCTTGATTGTTAGCAATAGAGTCCCTTTTTTGCGACAAAATAAAGAAAATGCGTCGTCGTTTGTGGAAGTCATCTTTCGACCAAAGACGTGGAAACAAAAGAGCTTGGTTTTTGGAGGGGTGATTCATTGTCCCGTTCTTCTGGGATTAGGCTGAAAACAACGAGACAAGCTCGAAGTTTCCTGGACGGAGGTCTCGCTGCCACATTTTGTTTATGTGAAGGATCTCGTTCGGCTCTTCAACACATGATTTAAGACTTTTGGTTGGACATCCATGCAGATACAGAAAAGTGCTGTGAACCCGTCCTTGATAGGGTTCTGCATCCCGTAGCACGTTAGAACATATTTTCATGCCCGCAAAGCCATATTTTCGAATCAACTCCAGTTTTGTCTCACAGATTACACAATGTCCGGAGGACAGGTGAAGTGCTCAAAAATATCTCCAATAGGTCTGTGCCCTCTAGGAATTCACACCATTACGTTACTATATGCCATTTATATCAACATAAAATAGAGAAATAAAATAGAAATAAGCCCCGATATCTCCCAATCCTCACTCACTGTTGCTGCTGGCGGGTTTTACTGCACAAGAGCTGCAACAGCCATACTGCACTTAACCGAGTAGATTAAAGAACAATGTCAAAGTATGCTGTGACGAGAGTGCCATGTTTTTGGGGTTTATTTTTCCTTGAATTTGGGGCAGTCTTTTTCTTGGTTTATTTTATTTTCTTTTTTGGTGACGGGTCAGCTTGAACTTACTCCAACTTACATAAACTCGTCTCGTCCAGCCCTTTTTACGTCTGTTTTGTAAGTGTAAAAATCGCATGTCTTCTCTCTTTTGCCCTGTGTTTGCACTGTATGTATTAATCATCATGCCTTACCACACGCCCAAGCTTCCACTTTGCAAGTACAAGCTGACCCATCATCAATATGTACCAACTAGCTCAACTAAAAGCCTATAATTAAGTTCATTCTTCTCCACAGATTTGGTATTCTTGGCGTCAATTTTCAGTGTCAAACAAAAATACTGGCATTTATCGGTGCTTATGTTGAAGAAAACAGGCCACGGTCATGGGATTCCACAAGTTCCAGGGAGCACTTACGTTACTCAAATACTTGAAAAACGTCCCGAGGCCAAAAGGAGAAGGAAACGAAATGGGGGATGCAGTTTCCATAGAAACAAATCGGCGTTGCAGAACAGTTTAGTGGGGGGCTGTGTTCCAAGCAAATGTAAAGTCAAGCTGTATTAAGATCTCTTCCCACGAAGCTCGGGTTCTTGTTGAAGGCAAGCCCCGATTCGGGGTACCTCGGTTTTTTCTGACATTGAGAAAACCTGCTTGGGCGTTACTTTTCGGGTTCGTCGGCATAAACCGGAAACTTGGAACCTTAACTATAGCCTGTAGCAGGTTAAGAATAGCGGGGCAAACTCCTCCCACAAAGCCCTCCACACTCTACACCTTAGCAGAACGAAGGCTGAAGAGAAGTAAACTACCAATCGTGGCAAGCAGAAAGCTTTGTGGGCGGGGCTCGTCCCGCTATTCTTAACCCGCGACAAATCGCACGACCGAGTGCGGGGACGTCGGGAGGTGCTCACCCTTGAGATGCACCGTGCCGATGGGTAGCATGCAGCTTTTGAAGAGCTCCACGTTGCCCCACTCGTTGCGAGGAACCTTGCCCCCAAATGCTACGGGCGGCATGTAAGGCTCCGTCTGCCAGAGGCCAAACAGCTCCAGCTCGCGTTCGCTGCTCATGCCAGACTGCAAAAGAGAGCAAGGGTAGGGCATAAGCACTCCTAGATTTTGACCCGAGGACGGCATAAAAATAACATTCAATGGGGGCACAGCAGGGGGCATGGAGGTAGGAAGCTTTTGGAGGCGACACAAGGCCACCAGAGGTGACGCCAGAGGTAAGGGACACGCCCCCAACGATGAACAAACCCAAGAGACGTGATGCTATTGAACGCAAAAAAGAGCTGCTGACTTGGCACCAGCGGATGTTTGGTCACCCTCGGCATATCGTTGGGGACATGTCCCTCCACACTTCTCGTTTCACTTCCAAAGCGTCCTGTCGCCTTCAGAAGCTTGCTATCTCCGTGGCAGGGGAGATGGGTGTGGCAGACGCTTGTTCTGGCGTCGGTCGCTCTCCAGCTTCCAAGTTCACAGATGCTTCGGCAGCCGGAGGTTGGGACACTGCGACGACGGCGACAGTTGCGTCCACTCGTCTTTTTTGGTGTAACTTCTACGACCAACCGCCAGAATTGCAACGCTCGACGACGTGACGCTCCGGCTCCTGCGACGTCGTTTGTTGCTGCTACGGGACTACTTTCGGTGCGCTAATAGTACAGGATGTTGAGCGGACGAGTTGAAGACATGTTCCACGCACCGCACCATTAGTCACTCACAGCTGCTCTGGCCGTCGGTGGGAGTGAGCTGTGAGGGAGCCTCGAGGAAAAAGAAAGGCACTCGTCACGGGAAAACGCGGATTCGTGCAGTTCGGCCGCGTTTTAAGGAAGCATATGCTGGTCGACAAGGCTACGAAGGTACATGACAAAAGCCGTTTGGGTACAGTGCCGAAGGGCACCCACAACCACGCTTTGATTTTTTGCTAATTCTCGCCAGAGAGGGCACACCGTTTGCATACCTGCCGCTCGTTTGACGTATGGCACGGTGTAATCGAGCTGGTACAAATTTTCATTTGGTCTTTTCCAGAGATTTGACACGCAGAACTTGGAGCCCAGCTGCAAATACCCAAGTGATGGAACACTCCAACAAGAGCAGCATTTAACTACAAACTGAAACGGGCAAATTTTCAGCAACCGTGGGTTACATTGAGGTTCACACTACACTCTGCTGACCCTCAATGCTTGCTGTTTTCACTACACCTTGAGCTCTAACCTCCGTCCAGCTCCAAATACAATTGTATCGTTGCTCGTAACAATCGGAAGAAAACAAGCCAAGAGTAGGCTCCCAATAATGTAATTAGTATGTGTCATTTACGAGACAAGAAAAATCATACGCGTGTGTCTGTCAATGGAAATGCAATGTCCCTTGTTTGGTGCCTGCCCCTAAGCTGTCGGCTCCTCAGCTACGTGATTTATCTGCAATTCTCAGAGAGCGGCTAGTGCGAGGCCTTCGTTTCCACCATTACAAGCGTGCAAACAGAAAGGGCGTCCACCCTGAAATGTTGCATTTCTGTCCCGTCTCTTTTTATGTGGCACCTAATTTTTTTCCATCTGCGCTTTCGCTTGGCCCGTTCATCATGCTGGCAGTGTCCACAACTTTTGGATAATACACACACTCACGACTTGTTTCGGAGCTCTTGCACCGACACATTGAAAGGAGGCAAACTTGGAGCATCAGTGACAATCGCAAAAAAATATTGAAATAGGTGCTTGCTTTATCGACTGCTATGTTGCATGAGTTTGATGTTTCTATCTATGTTTTCTTTTTGCTACAGCCACTGAGAGGACGAGGAGGGCGGCGAGCTCCTTCAGTTGTCCCACCTCGAGCCTCCGGCTTCTTTCTCTTGATGACCCTCTGGCATCTCGTGAGCCTCAAGCGAGTAGTCAAAGCCCGACGAAAGGCGACGGGTGCTAGTGGAGGTTAAGCACGTGAAAGAGACGCCCTCCCATTCTCATCTTGTCGGTGAATACGACGTACTAGAGAGCCATCATGATCCCCTAAAACTGTTTAGAGCGGGGGTCTCCAAGCCCCGGCTTGCAAGCCAGGCCTGGCCCGCAGGTAGCTCCCGACCGGCCCGGGGACGGCTGTGGTTCTTCCAGCAACGCCCTGCCCGTGGCCCGTTTCAGGCAAGCCCGCTGCTACCGACGCAAAAATGAGCGCGTGTAAAGAAAAAGCGCCGTGAAACGCACTGATCGCGCGTGTGAAGTAAGCAAAAAAGACGAGAACCTGGTTTTAGTTCTTTCTACTTTACATTTTCATTTTTATAGTCCAACCCTCGAGACTACGACCGATCCCCAATCAGGCCCCTTAGCCGAAAAGTTTGGAGACCCCTGGTTTTAGAGCAATGACAAGTTGATATTTCCGAGCCCATATTTTTTGTGCTCTCACGTTTTAATGCAAATGCCGCTCCATCCTTGTTTTTTTAGCCGATTTTTATTTCCACTTGCATTGTATAAAGTTATGGAAGTAAATGTTAGCTGTCATAATGCTGTACGGATGGGGGACTAGCCACCTGGTCAGGCAGTATTGCTATAATGTCCGTGCTTCCCTCCTTTGCACTGCCAAGACGGAACTACTAAAGAAAACAAAACAAGGACCTCAGTAAGGTCAGAGGTAAGATTCACGTAACGATTCTACGACAAAAGAATGTGCAAAAGTGCAAAGTGAAATCATTGTCGGTTTTGCACAGCTTAATGACGACGTGAATAACTTACACACTTGCTTGCTACGTTGTTAAAGTTTAAGAATACTTTCGTGAATCTGGACTTTGCTTCCTCCAGCTAAGGCCAAGTACAGCATGGCCCTAAAAAAAATGTTGAGTGTTTTTGTTTTTTCTTACTATAATAATACACTATGCATAGCCAAAATCCTCAGTCTCCACCCAAATGCAGCACAAGCGGTCTGGACCAGGTGCTAAAGTTTCACGGCTTGTCATTCTCTCTTATTCAAACGTTCCAAGTGATTTCCAATTGTGACTTCCTAAAACTTTTAATTGGGAAACGGGAGCCTGCTTTCAATATCTATGCATTTACGGGCCTTGTCGGCCGACATTTTCTCGTTAATAATTTCTTAAAAGTGCTCGTAACTTTTGATTCAGATAATGGCCAACTCTGAAATTTCAGCATCTGGTCCAGACCGCCAGCATTTCATTTGGGTGAACACTGAGCATTTGGAGATGCATAATTTATTTTTGAGGAGAAAAAAAAAATATATTTTTGGGGGGGGGACACACTGCACACCGCTACAGTGCGTGGAACACGCCCTCAACTGGTACGTTTAGTGTCTTGTCCCGCCCTCTATATCAAAAAAGAACCCCAAATGGCAACAAATAACTTTGCAGAAGCCGTCGTGTCATGCCATCGAATGTCGCAATCCAGGTGGCTCGTGCTAGAAGTCTCATCAAAAAGGTCAAGCGGATCCCAGTGCTGCTGTCATCACGGTGTACCGACTCCTGGTTGCTAAAGCTTCCGTGGACAGTCGAGCTAAAGAGCAACTTGCAGACAGGCGTCTGCCTCCTCCACCACCACTGCCATGACACCACCACAATCGCAGCCGACAACAACGTGGTACTCTGGTGAAGTCTAGTCGGAGATGCCAGGCACCGTACAGACCACCAAGCAACCGTCGAATGCTACCGGAGACAACTAAAAGGCTACTTGCCAGGAGGTCCTTCTTGGCCCTGCCCTTGACCCGCTTGTAGGGCTCCTCCCGGACACGCACCATGCGTGCCTCGCGCAGCCAGGCCTCCCGCGAGCGCAGCACATGCACGCACTCGCGAGCATAGACGGGCTCGCCCCGCACAAAGCCCAGGGGGGGTGCGTCGGCGGGGTACAGGGCCTCGTACTTGAGCAGGTGCCGCTTCAGCACGTACACAGGGTGGCCCTTGAACCTGCGTGCGGCGACTTGCCGTTGACGGTGTTCGAACGAGGCCACCCCGTTGGCTCGGTTTCCCGAGAGAAAGCCGGCCCGGCCAGGGTGCGCGTTTGGAAGAGCTTGCGGAGTTAAGTCAACGGGCCAAGTTCGGCACTCCGAGTGGCACGTTTTTAAGAACGACACACCGCCTGGTTTACGGAGAGAAGGAGAGGAGGGCGGGTTCGAAGCTTAGGTAAACACGCCTCAGTGACTCTTGCGCAAGGCTCGAGCCAGCTCCCAGATTTGCATGCCCGATGAGTGTACGAAAATTTGGGAGCCAGCTAAAAGCCAATGCGTGAATCACCAAGACGTGTTTACCTAAGGCTCGTCCCCTCTCCCCCGTAAACCAGGTGATTCGACGCCTGTACAAATGCGCCAATCAGAGTGGCAAAACATGCCTGTTGCCTTACTCCGCGGGCTTTCTGAATATGCAGCCGGGGCTGGAGTATAGAACTGGTCCAAGCTGGATCCTGCCGGAAATGATATTGATCTAGCTTTATAGCCAAGATCCAACAAGACTGATTTTCTCCTGGATTCCCTGCATTGGTTTGACTGTCAGCCTGTCACAAGACTTCCTTCAGGTTGTGGGGTAAAAAAAGAAACTTCTTGGTGGCTACTAGGACTTCACAGGCATATCTTGGTTGTCGCGCAGTACTCTAGCTTGTGTTGACCAAGATTGCATGTGTGTTTTCTGTCAAAGCGAAATGCGCCTTACTTCGGAAAGGGATCGGCAACACTTTTGGCCTTATCTTTGGCAGCAAGTCGAACCCCCTTTAGGTGCAAGGTGAAATGATGCGACACGGACATTCGACAAGGCAGAGTCTCCCTCAAGTACACAGTTACTAAAATCAACATCCGATACAGACATGCCCGAAAGTCGATCGATCAGACAAGAAAATTCGAGAACTTTCTTGTCTGATCGATTTACGAATGTTCTACTCACCGAACGTTCTAAGTTGAATGTTCCAGAGACCCACGCGGCTACAAAAGGTGCTCCGCATGGCAATATTATTAATCCCCCTCATGGCCACAGATAATCAGTAAGAATCCCCACCTGACAGAACATATCTCGTGGAACCACATAAAAAAAGGGGAATCAGGTAATAACAAAGACAGGCTCATATTAACGTCACATGTCCCATGTGATAGTACTGTGATCTGTCACTAAGACTGGCCCACATATTTGCATTTGATTGTGCCCACAGTGCACTACGTTCCTTCGTAACTACTTATGATAAATATTTTAATAATATTTTACACCTCATTCTTTCTTTGAGGGCTTGAAATAATTCTGACCATGTTATATACAATAATTTCTTATAGACAGTGCATAGACTTGATCTTGAAAATCAGTGTACAACTATCTCTACCTCCTTATCTTTCACTCTGTCTTCTTTGTGCCATCTACCTCTCCCCGCGGCACCATTTTAGATGAATACAGTTAAGCGACACGGCGGTTCGTTTCAGATTAATCTACATAAAATCTTTCCGACAATTCGTTGTAAGCAGTTACAAGAAGATGCAACGCAATTGAGCAGCCAAGTTCAAATATGTGAAGCAGCCGTTACCTGTCCCACAACGGGCAAGTGACAAACCATGGTATCAGCATGGACGTAACCACTTGCCAGTCTTCAAACACTGTTCCTAGTACAAGGATGGCTGACCACTCACTCTGCAATGGCAGAGGGCATGGGCTGCCTGAAGAGCCTGCTCTCCAGCTGCTTGTCCTCCAGTAGGTCCCTCTCAGAGGGGGCAGGCCGGAAGGGCTCGAGGGACTGCTGCCACCAGTTCTCCCGAACCCGGCTCCTCTTGGGGAGCCAACCCGAGCAGTACTTTGCCGTCAGCTCCCTCACGCGGCCGTCCTGGATACCCAGCACATACAGAAGAGGCTGCCGGATCTGGGATACGTCGCCGGCACTGCCATGCACCGCGTCAACGGGGATCCACTTCGAGTCCTTTGGGGTGAACACTTCCACCCAGTGCTCCACCCCGTCTTCGCCGGGAGGTTCCTGCCGTGCCTCTAGACGTTCCGCCTTCTTGGGTTTCTTGGCCGCTCTGCGCACCCTCTTTTTTTTGACCGAGCTGCTGTTCCCATGACTCTGCTGCTCTTCTTCGTCAGAGGAGTCCTGCTCCAGCTCTTGGGGTGGAGTCTTCTTGAGACCTTTGGTCGCCTTGGAGGCCTTCTTTTTTCCCAGCGGCTTGTTATCGTTCTCAGAGCCCTGGCTCCCTGACTCCTTCTCGTGCAGAGGAATCGGATAAAGAGACAGGCAAAGGCGGGCTTCGATGCTAAGGCACCTCAAGATGACGAGAAACATGAGCGCATAGTCCCTGGCACACTGCGCGAGCCTGTTAACCAGGGCTGCCGTGAGATCGTCGACCAACGTCCCAGTCGCCCCAGCACAGCCAAGCTTGCAGGAGAAGTGCCTGCAGTACATCTTGACAAACCGGTCGACGTCGATGAAAGTGACTGCTCTTCCACTGTAGGCGAGGAATTCCGGAGAAAGCAGAGACAGAGCTGTTGCTTGCAACGTCCTGTCCGTCAACATTTTTTCCAAACGAAGACCGTGGGCCAGAAGACAAAGCAGATGCACCTTGTGCGTCGCTACCCGGATCTCTCTGCGTATGCGGTTCAGCTCACGTTTCAAGTGAGCCGCAGCATCAAAACCCGCCTTCTTCGGCTTTAGTAGCTGAGGCTGTAGCGTAATCACGACGCCATTTGACGGGATTCCCGGAGCGTCCTGAGACACCTCTTCCCAGTCCGAACCACTTGTGCTGTCATCCACGGTCATTCTGGGTTCTTTCGGCGCAGGCTTTCTCTTAGTGCCTTTAGGGTGATCCTTTTTGCGGACTTCTTCGCACCGTCGACCCTTCCGCACGGCAACAGACGGTTCCGCAGAGCTCGTACTTGGCGCTGCGTTCCCACGCCGGCCCACTGCGGCACGTTTTCTTTGCGGGTGGTGCCCGCCGAGCTCGTTCTCGTGCAGCATCGCGGCTATCTCGTCTCGCAGTTCCACACCAGGAGCAGCGGGTTCACTAGTACTCGGGCTATTATCCTCTGCAACCTCTCTCTTCGTGAACCTCGCGTGGGTGCTTTCGACAACGCGACTCAACGATCGAGTACTGCTCGCAGCGTTGTTAAGGTTCCTCTGGACTGCAGCAAGGAAGTTCTTGCGACGAACCTTGGATGTGGAAGCTACACTTGCCTCGCCAGTCTTGTGGACCTTGGCATCGAGACTTCTGGGCACCGCCGTTGCGCTGTCATCGCCGGAGGATGCTTCCTCGGACAAATCGACCGCCAGACTGTCGAGTTCAAACTGTTCCTCGCTCGAATCGGACGAACCATCGTTCAATTTCGCTTGCTTGACAGGCGTTTCTTCTTCGGACGAGCTTGCCTTGCCTGCCTTCGGAACGTACTCCTCGTCCCCGGAGTCGGACGGACTCGTGGAGCGGGCCTCGTCTGTCCCTTCGTCATTGTTCTTGCCTGCATTCTCGCTTGTTGTTTGCTCATTTGTTTTTAAATTAAGTAGTCTCGTGGAGCGCCTCACACTCATTTTAATCTCGTTTCGAAAATGATCGACTGATCCTCCTTATCCTCCTTTTCCTCCAACAACCAAACCAACCAAACCACCAAACCGATTACCGTGGTTACGCCAGTATACGCATGGGTAGACTAGATAGTGATGATATTTTTCGTACCAGCAGGTTCCTTGCGCTCCCTATCGAAATCCAGATCGTTTACACGCCTCTAATTTATAACCTCATCTTGCCATTTTTTTATGTAATATTTCACTTTTATAGCTTTTCGCACTAATATTTAACCTTTTTTTTTAAACTTAGTAACCACCGTAAAAAAAACTTCGTCAACCAAACTACCCTACGTACTGCAAGAGATACGTCGCACAACTCTGCAAATAAAGATAGATGGTGACTAGCGTCACCTACCTTGCTGTTTTTGACATTTTTCTGACATATGACGTCAGACCCTGCGAGACAAGGGGGGAAAGTATCGGTGTAGCTGTAGTGGCTGGTAATGTGCTTTTGGTGTGATAATGGTCCTCTCTGACTCACTTCCTCGATCTGTGTCGCCGTATAATCCCTCGATTGATTCGAGAGATTCTCGGCCAGCGCTCCTTGCCTGCCAACCTACGTGATTCTTCTCTACTGCACGACCAGATTCGCCCGTTGCTGTTGCTGCGCGGCTCTACGTGAGTGCAGACAAAATCGACTTCTCCGCCTCCTGTGACATATCAGCTGTTCTTTTCCAACCACGCGCTGAGGGCAATAGAAAATTGTGTTGTGCAAGTCGCTTGAAAAGATACTCAGCAACGAATTGATACTCAGTAACATGCGTCCACCTCAGACAGTGTCAACTGGGACTTCAAAACTTTGCAGGCGCGCGTCAAAAGTGACGAACGCTGCGACACATGCGCAGTCGAAGGGGCGGGACGTCGAGGTGGTTTTAAGGTTCCGATTTCCTGCTCCTCCCTTGCCTCGGTTATCAAGAGTCGCGTACAGCGTCGGGTGAGCTACGGACGGTGGTTTGCGGGCTTTCGAATGCGCAAACGAAGCGCACCGCAAGGCCGCATTCTGGTGCCTGTGTCTTTGATAGCGCGCTGCAGCGCACGATTTCTTATGGCGATTCGCGCGGCGGCTACTGACTGATAGAGCAATATCACCGCTTTTTCCTGGATTGCGAAAGCTGCTTCTGGTCGTCCTTATCGGGCTGCTGCGCGAATATGATGCACAAGTCGAGCAGTCCGCCTGACCTATAAATCCGCCTAGTGTTCGTGGTCTGTTCGGGCGGCTTAATTGGTTCCGTTGAGTGCGCTTCTTCCCACACACTGATGCCCTGCAGAGAAGCTACTCCCTCTGAATGCCCATTCCAAGGTAGTGCACCATTCTGCGGGCGAGTGCTCGACCCTTGGAGGGGTATTTGAAAAACGAATACAAAAATAGAATTTTGTAAATGCTGATGCGGCAATAACTCCGTTGCAGTACAAGTTTAAAGAAAACAAACAAAAAAAACAACTGTAGTTATGATTAATTCAGGTGATCATTTCCTGGCAAAATATTTGGCCGTATCTTCGGCAAGGGTGTACGCGTGATCGAAGGGTGGCAAGTGCGCGCTGTTCGAATGTCGCTTTTCATACGTGTGGCGGCGATTTGCCGGCGCAGTTCTTGCTTCAGCTGCAAGAGGTCCGGCAGCTTGTATGCCAGACTGTATCGGCTATTGTCATATTCTAGTCGGGAAAGGAAACCAAACGAAACAATGCTCGCGGCGATTGCGGTTTCGAGCCGCAAAGGAAGCGCATCGAGACAGACAACCCAGCTCCAAGAAAAGATAGCCGAAACAACGAAGATATGTATAATCTATGGGAGACAAACTTTTTTGAACGAAATCGTTTAGCTTGCACAAGGTCAGTTTGCTCTGAAACACAATGTGTTATTACACCGCTGAAAAAAAAAATGTGTGTGGATAGTGTTATAGTGTTGCACTCGGACAATTGAACACGCATTGCAATTTCAAGTGTCGCAATCAGAAGACTGAGGACTCCGGAACAATATAATAATAAGAGAATAGAATGTGAAAAGTACCCTTGGAAAATATAATTGGGGGCCTCGTAAAATGGCTATAGTTCTGCTGAAATCAATACCAAATACCCCCCCCCCCCCCCCCCCCCCCCCCCGGCCCGGGCCATGATCCTTACCGAGACGCTGTTTACGTGCCATGTAACGAGCTTCTAGTATAGTGGCAGGTAAACAAAATAACGCCCACGTTGCCTTAATGGAATCTCAGCGTGCTTTCGTTAGCTGCAATCTCCAGTTCTGGCGAAAAGGTAACGCGCAGTAGTGCCCCCCCCCCCCCCCCCCCCCCCCGGAGAACTTCTCAGCCTGCCCCCTCCGGGAAAATGGAAAGTCTAGGCCGCTGACCAAATATATTAACATTCGACCCGTGTGGCGGCAGCACCCCACGGATTTATTGACCTTCCCTTCCATTAATTTTATTATTTAACATCCCGTAAGCTGTGCGGACTGTCGGTAAGGTCAATATTGCGAAAACCTCTGTGAGGCGAGCTGGTGACGAATCATAGTAGAAAAACCCAGAGACAAGGAGATAAAAGGACAGAACAACGCCGTCTCAGATATCTGAGACGGTGTCGTTCTGTCCTTATAGCTCCTTGCCTCTACGTTTTTCTACTATTATTGTGAAGCAACTTGATTTTCCACACATCTCGGAGTCCGAATTTAAGTTGCTGATGCATGCAGGGTGCTCACTGTACCATTGAATAAAGAAAAAAAAAAAATATTACGAAGCTCACGCACGACCCAGGCAAACGAAAGTGCTATATTTGGCACCTTTATTAGATTAGCTCAGTTACGGAACTGACGCTGCTTGCATGAGCAGTAACCCCCCCCCCCCCCCCCCCCCCCCACCCTCTCCCTCCCTCGCCTCCCGTCGAACGACGCGCCGGACGGCTGCTCTGCTTTTAGTGTATTCTATAGAATAAGTATATACGTTTCGAAGCATAGCGTCTAGATGGCGTTCCACCGTATTCTATGGAACACACAGTTATGAAACAAAGATCTAGATGGCGCTTCGAACGACGGGAGGCGGACTGACTCCTGCGGAAGGGGGTGGCCCCTTCCGCAGGAGTTCCAAAACTGAGATTATCTTGTAACATTGTTTTGGGGACAACTTTTCATGGCATTTCCGAAGAAGTTAAAACCGCGCGAGCCAAGCTGTGTTCGGCGCTCAATGTGCGCGAACGCACGGGCTTGTGCACATTGAGCGGCGATCACAATGCGAACGGGCTCGTGCGCATTGAGCGTGCACATTGACCTAGGGTGGACTAAAGCCCCTTCATGTTTCAAAAGTACCGGAAGGTTCGTCGATGCACGAGACACATGCAACGTGCAACCCTTGGGTAGATCATGGCGGCACAGCGCGGCACTGAGCTAAATTTCAGACGCCATGAATTTATCAGAGGTGGCGCGCGGCACGTGCCTCGAGCATTTCTGTAACAGTGAATGGCGCCGCTTTTCCCAGGATAAAGGGGCTTTAGAGTGGACTAGTGCCACTAAATAAGCTACGCTTCAGAGTAACGACACTTGGCCATATTGTGTCTTAAAATCAAGGTTGCCAGTTTTCTGAAGCTTTATCTGAAATCACAGGAAATGCTTTTCCGCCCTCCACAAATGTTTAAACCGTTCGCGACAGGGCAAAGCAATATTACATGACCTTCCTAACACCGAATCTAATGCTGAGGAAGTCGCACTTTTGAATCATGACGATCGGCCGTTGCGTCTGTTCTGCATACGGGCCAAAATGGCAGCGTCCACAACAATGTCGGGGAACGGAGTGGTGATACTCTAACCGCAGCTTATTTAGTGGCTCTAGAGTGGACTAACTAGGGCCGGCCGGCCCGGCCGGCAGCCTTGAATGTGTCGCGATGTGCAAGCACGCCGGTGAGGGCGATGTGGGGCAGAGCGAGTATACATCCGAAGGCTGACTGTGGCCTGGCAGTCGCAGCAGAGGTGCTTTATTCGTTGTAAAAATTGTCCTGGTCTTTGATTGTTTTTTGTCTGCTTGGTTGGGCGAAATAATAAGTTTTATCCTATCTCGCACCCTTGTTAAAAAGCGTGACTCGCGCGAATGGCAGAAGCTTATATTTAAAGCGCCTATGCCGTTTGGAAGCTATCAGTTACTTACGTAATTTCGCTTCCTTTTTTTTTGTTTTTGTTTTGCTGTTGTAGAATAATAACTGTCTATCTCACGTTACATACCAGCATCAAGAGAGCGAAGTTTGAGCATGCGAGGATTCCCTCTCCACTTTAAAGGGATACTACAACGAAATTTCGGCGCTTATTTCTTGATCTATTCGTGTTCAATGAAGCATTACCACATCGGACACACCAATCTCTCGTTGAAAAAGACACGAAAAGGAATTTTAAAACAAATTAAACAATTAACAAAGAGCACTTGGTGGATGTCCCTAACGCCTCGTTTGTAATGTCCGTCTAGGAACCTTGACAGGTAGTGACGATAACTGTCTCGCCTCGGGTTACGACGAGAAAAGAGCTGAAGGAGGAACTCCCCTCTTCCTGGGATTCTCTTTTGTGTGTCTCGGAAGTCGCTATTATCCCTCTACAAGATTATAGAAGATTAACCGGTCACTCAAAATTTGTACAAAGACAGCTTTGGGGTTACTTGCGGTGGCCCGATCGCTGGTGTGCTTCGGCTGCCTTCAGCGGATGCTACGAGCCATCGGGGCCTATCCAAGGCCACGTGACTGTCACGTGACCTTGGAGAGGGGGACAGCGACGCGCAGAAAGCGTATCAAGGGCTACGTCCACAGAGCGGGATTGGCTGCGATAGCTCGCAGCGCCCGCTGCGTCCGGAAGTAAGGTCCCGAGACAAACTACGTCACGATTGCGACGGATGTGGCGTGCTCTCCGCTGGCTGCTCTCTGAGTGCTTGCCAAAGTGGGACGTTTATAACGAAAAATACAGCCATCAGGCTTAAAATACAAACGTGCGATTGTCATTTACGGATACTGTGGATCATATTCAGCCTATTTGTGAACGGGACGGGTATATTTCAAATTTCGTTGAAGTACCCTTTAAAGTCAAACCTCTCTGAATTTTTTTTTTTTTTTTTTCGGCAGCTGCACATTTTGTTGACTTTTAGATACCTAGTGTTTGTTCTGGTGTTGGTTCTGGGCTCGGGATGAAATCGCAGCACTGCGAGAAGAAATGTAGAGAAAGGCAGACGAAAAGCGACTACGTCTGACGCATTCCAAAATCGAACTCCTCTCCTCCTTTTTATTTGCACGCGATCTTCTTCTTTTCTCAGTGGCTATCGCCACACGTCTTTCCTCGTGAAGCATAGATTAATGGAAGCAAGCTTCTCATGAAGTTCCGCATTTTCAGCCAGAGCTTATAGACCACGCAGAAAATTTGTTTCATCAGTAAGCAAGCCTCATATAAAAAATATAAAAAACGTCGAGACTGGCAAGAAAAACAGAGCAACTTCAACTGTTGTCTTTATTGAAGAGCAATCCCACTGTTGGAGATCTTTGTTTCTTCTGACATGGCACACCGGTCCCACATTCTTGTAAGTGTTTTTGTTTTTTTTCTGCGTCAGTTTTGTTTTTTTCCCCTTCAGAAAGAAAAGCAATCGCGTGACGCAGTATAATCTTTTCGT